GATTCAAATTCATCATGAAATTCATCTGGAATTCCAGCTGACTTTCATAATGAATTTCGAATTATTATTTTACATATTGTGTTCTTGTACTCAAAAAAATTTATCCAGATAGAAGTTTAAGAATCATAAATAATGAGTCAGCGTAAGTTACACTAAAAATTCCAATATATCTTTCTCCAAATATTTTTTTACTGATTAAAAAAATTAAGTTTCATATACTATTTGTTTCAAATTCATCATGAAATTCATCTGGAATTCCAGATGAAATTCATATTTGTTTCACAATCTGAAGTTCATCCGGAAATTCATCCGGAACCAAAATTTTTTTTGTACGGGTAGATAGTTGTAGCGAAATCATACAATTTAAATTTGAATAATTAATCTCACTTATGCATTCAGGTGATAAGCTTAATGAATTGTTAATTTAAGAGTCATTACCTCAATTTCAATAAAACATCAACGGTATGCAAAGATTCTATTTCTTAAATTAACCTCACTTGATTTAATTATACATGTACAGTACAGAGTCTATTTATTTAGCTTTCCATTTCACATAAATGGTAAGGTGAGAAATATCATTAAGCTGCTACTCAAATGGAAACCCACTTGTTTTTCAAGTATTTTCTTGTACTCAACTCGTGAATGTATACTGTAGCTCTAGCTACTCAGAGAAATAAATAAAAAAATATACCTAAAGAGGAAATTCCATTCTTCACTGATCCTGAAACTAAACTCTAATATTCCGCTCATGCACAAGGGTCGTATGTTTACCTCCCAGTAATGGGCCGGCCTGCGTGAGGAGTTTCTTGATTTTTTTTACGTTTCGTCGTTGATACTTTTAGTTGTACAGAACAATAAAAATTAAAACAAATATAAATAAATAATTACCATTTACGAAAAACGAAAAAATAAATAATTGCTTTCTTTATTTTATCGTTATTATTCGGGAAATATTTTTAAATGTTTTTTTTTTAATTATTTGGTTTTATAAAACATTTATAATATCAATATATAAAAGAGTCAAAAACATATTTGTCAATTATTTTTAAAGTTTTTATTGGTATAGCAAAAATTTAATGTCATTAATAAAATTAATCTACATGAGTCTAGCGATTTCTAGAATTATTTTTTTATTCGTATTCTACGTGTAAAAATATATGATTAAAAGAAATATTGTTTTGAAAGGGTCAATTTTTTAATTATTGAAAACAATTTTATTTTATCAAAAAATTGTCATTATAAAAACATTTTTTCAATTATTCTATTTGTGTTGGTTTAAAAATAAATATGTGAATGTTAAAAAAAATTTTAAAGCTTCTAATGTAATGAAAAAATTATATCTTGATCAAAAATTGCTGATAAAATGTATCAACACAAAAAAAATTTTTGACTTGAGAGTAAATTCTCTTGGCCCAAGAAAATATTATGGAAGTCTGAAAATTTCTTGAATGTAGTCAAATTTTTTGAGCCAAGAAAATTTCTTCTTATTGCTTCAAAATAACTTTTATCTTCCTCAAAATTTTCTTGGTGCAAGAAACTGTTTTTGTCTGTGTACCTATATCTCGCAATTTCTAGTAGTTTTTTATATTCTATGCCTAGAAGCAACAGAAAAAAATTTTAATTTTTCTAATATTTTTTTTTAAAAATATTTTCATGATTCTTACGATTTTAGAAAATACTTTATATGGATTAGAATATTGTAAGGCTTATTTTAAAATAACAATTTTCTTTATTTTAAGCATGACTTTAAGACGAAGCAATGAAAAAAAACAAAATTTTGAGTAAAAAAAAAGTTTTTTTCCACAAAAAAGTTGTTGCTTCTGGTGAAACTTTTCAAAGGACGTGTTCGCCCGAAGAAAAGTTAGAAAATGAAAACGATTTTACTATACGAGAAACAATTCTCCCGCCCATTCTCTTTATCTTTATAAGGTTTTTTTTTTATAGCAAGCTAATATTCCTTTAAAGCTGAATAACACGTTGCTAAAGTTGGTTGCCGCTTTCGCAATCATTGACACTAGCTTCTCACGCGCACTTGGAATGTGTAAATAACTAATTACACTTCGTGACGAGGAAACAAATGCATAATTCAAACATCCATTATCAACTTGGTACAGCGTCGTAGCTTGTGAGCGATTGTAGCTCAAGAACTCTTAGTATTCTCTCGGGAACTTTATCCGGAAAGACGTTTTACCCCTTTACTATGCACCTAAGACTAAGTCCGAGGTTAATTATCAAATTTGTTTGACTCGTTAGTAATTTAATTGTAAATTCATAAATAAATGTTGATCCTGCTCACTCTCTAAAAATGAATCAGTGGAATTTCACTGTTTCACAGTTATAAGTCTACCAAGTGGTATACTTATAACTGTGAAACAGTGAATTTACTACTAATTTCCAGTGATTTTCACTGTTTCAGATTTAGAGAGCAAAAGGATTGTTGATTCACTTTAAAAGTATGACTCTGTATACTAATGATAATAATAAATGATTGCATGTCTGATGCAACATTGCTTGTACCACTTGATAATGAATGTAAACACGATTTAAAATTTGAAACTGATTCGGTAAAATTAATATTAATGGTCTTAAAGATTAAAAATCATCAATCATCTAAATTCTTAAATTAATACGATCATTTTGTGCAACTAATAATAACTTGCAAAATTCTTTTGATGATTAGTCATAAATACAACGTCGGAAATATAGAAAAATATCACTAATGTTTACGTCAGTATAGCGGTTAAAATAACAAAGGTGAAAAGATTAAAAGATAATTTATGATTCTAAAATATTTTACATGAAAAAAAGTGTAGAAAATCCAAAAGTGCACGACTCACAATGCTGATTTATAATAATAAAATAAAAAATGTAAAAAAAAAAATTTCAATCAACTGTAATAAAATGATAATGCGCAGGCGCCCCTAGTGGGATAAATGAACATAATATATATGGGGTATTCCATGCCAAATTGACAACTTTTGAACCCGACTCCTTTAGATTTAACTGAAACTTTTCTATTCTTTTCTACCCTTTGAAAGACATTTTTGAGAATTCTTTCAAATTTTTTTATCCAACCCAAAAAAGTTATGAATTTTTCAAAAAAATGGCTTTTTTATTTTCAAATGGCAATAACTTTTTTAGACATTGACCTATGGGTACCTTTTTTTTTGAAGTTATACTTCTTTTGGCGCGATGGAGAAAAATGATGAGAGTGAATTTTTACGATGCGCGCGCACACCGACACCTAAATTAACAGAATGAAGTTGGCCACAGAATAGAATTAAAAGTATATATTTTTTTAAATGACTAAGTTAACTCATATACAAGTTAGTTGCAAAGTATCCAACGAAACGTTGTTATTTTTAAATTCGATAGAAATACCATTTAATATGAAATATATTATTCATATTAATAATCAATTCTAAAAAATGGTCAATTAAATATTTTAGTTTTTATTTAACTTGATAATAATTTTCTTTTAATCAATATTTTTCCAAAAATAATAGTAATTTCATGAATTAAAATATTTAAACTAAAATATAAATATTGTAGTACCTATTATATTTAGGTATCTTTTTATTGAGTTCATAATTTTTAATACAGACTCAATCATTTTGCTCATCGAATATAGTAATTCTATCCATATTTTTTTAAATTCATATTATAGACCATTTTAATAATTTTCCGGAATTTTGTTGGAAACAAAATCTAGTTTCGTACTACAATAGTTGTCTTTTAATTCATGTATACATTATTTTTGAATAAATATATTAATTAAAAAGATATTATCACTAAGTTAAATAATAAATAATGAATAACTAAAGTTAGCCGACGTTTTTAATTTTTTGATTTTATCTTTAATAATTAAATTAGAACAAAAAAATACTTTTTAAAAATTGCACTTACAGTTTTTGAAGTTTTTCACAAGTGAAAATTTTTTTTTATTTTTTTTAATCATTTTTTCAAAAAAAAAAACAAAATTCTCAAAATTTTTATATGTCAGCTAACTTAATTTTCATAATTAAAATATTTTATAATTATCGATTGTAAACTATTGATACTTTGAAGCTCCAAAATTAGTTTATTTAGAAAAATCTTTAATAATATTGAATGAAATTCATATGATAATTAATGATTTTATATTTATACGGTATAGCTAAATTTTTACTATAATAAAACCTATTTGATTGTTTTTAACATTTTTCTTTGATCATTTTTGTATTTTTTTTTCTTTAAATTTTTTTTTATTATATGCCAAAGAAGTATAACTTCTGACGCGTGTACATAAGTACACACACCATTTGTTTAGTTTGGTTTTTTATAAAAAGCGTGTTTTTAGTTTTTTTAAACTATTATTTATTATTATTTAAATTCAAGGAAAGTATTGTAATTTTACAAACTTAGCTAATCTAAAAATATTTTTAAAATTACACAACCTTGTTAAATTAGTAACCTGACATCTATATATGTTTTGTAATATTACTATACCCAATTGTAATTTTAAATAAATGTTTTGCTTATTAGCTTCCAATAAATTTCTTGTAAAATTACAATAAAAATTTTTAACAGTGTAGTCTTCTTTCATAATAATTATAATTATAATTATCTCTTATCATTATAATTAAGAGCCTCATTAGTTGACCCAGTTTAAGCTCTTCACTAACTTTTGATGCCACATCACGGATCCGTTGGAGAGTCTGAACATGTCTTGTCAAATTATCAACAATAATAACCCTTTTTACTCTTAAAATTTTCCACATAAATGACTTTTGTTTACATTACCAAACAGGCTTTGATTAGTTAGCTGTCTCCAAGGATTCTCTCCACTCGACTTATTACACACGAATATGATAATAAAATCCGTTATCTACAGATTAGATTCCGTAATTCCCACTCTCACCTTTCTCCTACCTCTCGCTAACATATCCAGCGGAAGATTTAAAGATTCCTTTACGGCAGAAATAAAACACTAGTGTGTGTAAAGCGTCAGCTGATCCAACATGTCCAAAATTCTGGGAAAGTATCAGCATGAACGAAGCGAGAATCTTGACGAGTACTTCAAGACTCTAGGTAAGTTTTTATCTAACTTATTGTTAGAATTGTTATTGATTATTTATTATTGAGGATGTTTGTTGGATTGTTGCAGAGCTGCCTTACCTGGTCAGGAAGATGATCAACATGTCCAACCCGAAGATCGAGGTGACCAAAGAGGGGGACAAGTGGATAGTAACGACTGTGACTATGATGCGCACGCAAGTCTGGGAATTCACGCTTGGAACTGAGTGGGAAGAGGTGATGCCATCTGGCGTTAAACTCCAGGTATTTAACAGTCAAGGTTGGCTGATGTCCCACGTGTAAATTGTTCTGTGTGTTGTTCGGTTACAGAATACTACTACCATTGAGGACGACAGCTTGATTATTGTCTCGATTACGGAAGACGGCAATAGAACGATAAGGCGGTATGATTTTAATGATGATGGGATGACTTTAGTGAGTATTGGGACTATAAATAAATAAAATTTTGGGGTATTAAATAATGAATTTTGGTAAATTGAACTGTACTTTCTTAAATATTGACATTTTTTAAGATATAAGCTCATTTTGATGTTACACTCATCAAGAGCTTTTATTTGAGTACCCACATGTATTTTTTATATATTTTTCATATATACAAATTTATATATATATAAATACATATATATAATATATATAAATATATAAAATAAATAAAAAATTGATGTGGGTACTCAAATGAAAGGTTTTGATGAGTGTAACATCGGGATGAGCTTATATCTTTAAAAATGTCAAT